CCTGATAGCATGAAAAATTATGTCTTAAAGACTTCTGGTTTCCAGTACTACATGTAAAGAACTTAGAAGTTTTTGATCCATTCTAATAAGTAAAAAGTTAAACAGAATGAAAAATCAGTAATTCTTCTTTGGTGTATATCAGAGAAGTGCAGTCATAAGAATAACTACTGCCCTCCAAATTAGGGAGAAAGACAGGTGAATACAGAGGGTCACAATTTGGGGGAATAAGTCCATGAGAAGAAACTACTGTGGAAATCAGTGTGCCAGGGTAGGAGAACCCAGGTTGTAATGAAAGAATGCTGGAGATACAGTTTGGATAAACCTGAGGGGGGAAATATAGGGGGACCCAATCATAGGAAGGCATTCACCATTTTGTGAATTTTACCTCTAGGAACCCTACCAGGATCTCAAAGTGAATATTGGATAAAAGTGTCCCCATAGTTTTGGCATGGGAAGTTTAAAAGGGACCATTTTGTAATATGTCAGAGTATTCTGCTCCTCAGTGATATACTCCTGAAACATGTATATAAAGTTGTAATGTTACCTCAATAAAAAAAAATAAAGCTTTCATTCTGAATTGATCCAACAGATAAAAGCCTGTTCAAAATACTTAAATTGTATTTAATTGTTTGTATATGTGCGTGTGTGTGTGTATGTGCATTCTTATGTATAAATGAAATGAATGACAGTGATACAAAGGATAAAAGGAAGGAATTAGGAATATTTTGTTATTAAAAGGTGCTTATACTACTCATGAAGATGAATAGTGTTATTTGAAACTGGATTTAGATTATTTGTAAATGCATATTGCACAGTCTAGAACCAAAACTAATAGAAGAAAAAATTGGCACAAATAATAAAAATAACAAATAGAAAATAATTACAAATATGCTAGTTATCAATCCAACAATTACAATAATCACTTCAAATGTCAATGTTATAAATACACTAAGACAAGTTTTTCAGAGTGAACTAAAAAGTAAGACCCACTCTATGCTGTCTACAGGCAACCAACTTTAAATGTAAGACATAGATTCAAAAATAAATGGAAGAAGATATGCCATACTAACACTTATCAAAAGAAAGCAGGAACAGTTGTACTAATTCCAAACAGTATAATTCAGATTAAAGGAAGTTATCAGGGATAAATAGGTGTATAGCATAATGATAAAGGACTTAGAGGAGGCTTACTAAAGTTTTGGTAAAGAGAAAATCTTTGTTAGGGATTACTTTGTAAAATATATATATATGTATACACATACACACACACACAAACCACACACACATATTTCAAGATACCTTTTAGGGGCCTCCCTGGTGGTGCAAGGGAGCACAGCACTGTGAAGCTATCTGCTGCCTCCTGCAGCAGGAGTTCAATCCCCAGCAAGCCAGGGAGCTACCCACGTGGCGCAGCAGACCTCTTCTGTCTCCCCAGCTGCTCCCCTCAGCAGTGTATTTCAGTCAGTCTGCCTGTTCTGTTCCCCTCTCTGTCTCTGGTGAATCCTCTCAACCCCCCGCACCTCTGGCCTGTAGCCAGTTCTTGTATGCATAAATAAATATTACCTTAAAAATATTACCTTATAAATAATACCTTATAAATATTACCTTTTAATATACTTGGGCACTCAAAAATGAGCTAGACTTAAATCTATGTTCTTACTTGCTAGCTGTGTGAATTAAAATAAACAGGGATAATAATAGTACCTTTCTTATGGGTTGTTATAATTAATCTTTTAAAGATTTATTTATTTATCCAAGAACTTGGATATAGGCCAGAGGCATGGGAGTGTGGAAGAATTCACCAGAGACAGTGTGGGGAGCAGAACAGGCAGACGGACTGAAAACACTGCTGAGGGGAGCAGCGGGTAAAACAGGAGATGTCTGCCGCACCATGTGGGCAGCTCCCTGGCTGTCCAGGGATTGAACCCTCACTGCTGAGGCTGCAGACAGCTTCACAGTGCTGCACTCAACCCGCTGTGCCACTAGGGAGGTCCTGGGTTGTTAAAATTAAATGGGAATATTTTAAAGATAATAAGTATGAGGGAATGAAACTATGAAGTGTTATGTCTGCCTCATGGTAAGCATCTAAATGTTACCTGATTGCTATTATTGGAAATATAGCAATAATGATAAGCATACAGACTTTATATGACCAAGGAAGAATTTGTTGCACATATAATTTATATGTGCAACATAAATTATATTATTATATAATTTATAATATATATTATTGCTCAAATATATTATTGAGCAATTCATCATATTTCTTTTTGACTAGAATTGTAATTCACTTTAAAGAAATATTGATCAATATGATTTTTTTTCTTTGGTAGATTTTTCTACATTGTTGGTGAACATTTCAACCCTTTTAGGACAGAGTTAACTGTACAAATTGTAAGGTTGTATTTTTCCTTAAAGATTTACTTAGAAATCTGTTCACTTGCACCCAATAATAATTCCTTGATTTGCATGCTAGTTCTCTATCAGTGTATAACACACTGCCAGGAAACTTGGTGCTCTAAAACAATGAACATTTATTATCTCACAGTTTCTGTTAGTAAAACAGAAAACAATTTTATGTCACAATATCTGTCAGAGATCCAGAAGCAAGTAAGTTGGGTGGTTTGGGCTCAGAATCTCTCAAGAGGTTGTTTTCATGATGTCCACTAGGGCTATAGTCTCTGAAAACTTGATTGGAGAATGAATGATCCACTTCCAAACTGTTACTGCTTTTATCAAGAGGTTTTATCTCATCAGCATGTGTGCTGCCCCATTAACCTCCTCTGACATCATGTCCCCAAGAATAAATGATCCAAGAGAGAAAAAGATTGCAAGTGAGAGAGAACCATAGTGAGAGCAAACCATAGCCATTCATGACCTTTGTTTCTGCCATATTTTATTGGTCACACAGGCCAACTCTGGTGTCTACACAAGAGTGAGAATACCAGGGGATGGTATCATTGGGGGTAGTATTGGAGACTGGCCATCACAATCAGTGACTGTGGATTTAGATGTATCTGCCCACAAATTCTTTCATCACTTACTCTCATTTCTTCCTAATATTTTAATCATGTTATGATAACCTCTAGACTAATAGTCATTCATATATCTTCATTTCTATTGCTATAATACCTTAATCACAATGCAAGTCATAGCATGTTCAGTGGCTCAAATATATACAAGTATATGTAGTTTTCTTTCTCAAGATAAATTCTGTTTAGGACATGAACTCCTCAGGGAAAGCTCACAAATTATTGTAGTATTCCTATTCTTGTATTGGCCAATAATTATCTAACATTGAAAAATGTTAATCTCATCACTGAGGTGTTGTTATGATCAAAGGGAAACTGACATATAACCCCCCATAATGAGATTCTGTGGAGTCGTAAATGAATCAGCAAAATTAGCTTTGAAATGACAACATTGTGCCTGATTTAAATGCCTTTGTGATATAGCTACAAGTTTTTATGTACTACAATGGTTATCATACTTAAATATTCTTCCTCATTTTCTCTGTCGGAGATGTTTAGTGTCCTGCACAGTTCCTAGCACAAAAGAAGAGCAAATTTAATAATGTTAGATTGAATCTATTGGAAGTTGGTGATGCTGATATCCATCAAAATATATATATTTCATACTTCGTGGAGGGCAATATGTTATATAATTTATTGGTTCTCAAACCTCCATGTATGGTACAGCAAAATCTATTTAAGAGCTTGTTTAGAATTCATATTCCTAGGTCCAGGAATTTGTTTTGATATTTTGGAGGAAGTCTTGTGATCTGTATTATAGTAAGCACCCTCAAATGATTCTCATATAGGTGGCCAGTGTTTGATATAGAACTTTGAGCATGTGCCTATAAGTGTAATGTTACCAGGAACCTTTAATAATCAAACAAAATGCCCTAACCCGTTCTCCTTTCTACTGTGGAAATTTGTCACCACATCTCAGCCTCCAATATTTCCAATGGTTTCTTGAAAAGTGATACCAAAAAGAAAACAATCAAAGGAAAAAAATAGATAAATTGGACTTCACCAAATTTTTAAATGTTATACTTCCAAAGATACCATCATGAAAATGTAAAGACAGCCATCGACAGCATCATTGCAAACATATATAATTAAGGATCTAGACTCCAGAATAACATTAAAATTCTTGCAACTCAACAATCAGAAGACAAATTTCACAGTAAAAGTGGCCAAAAAGTATGACTAGACATTTCTTCAAAGAAGATATACAAGTGGCCAGTAAGCACATAAAATAATGTTCAACATTACTAGTAACTAAAAAATGCAAATCAAAACCACAGTGTGCTACCACACCTGCTAGGATGACTGTAGTAAAAAATGCAGATGAAAACAAGCATTGATGAGGATATAGTGAAAGTGGAGCCTTCATATACTGCTGCCAGTAATATAAAATGATACATCAACTTTGGAAACAGATTTGAAGTTTTCTGATAAATATAGAATTGTTCCATGAATCAGAAATTGCACTCCTAGGGTGATACCCAAAAATATTTGAAAAGAGATGTTCAAAAAAACTTGTAAAGAATGTCCATAGCAGCACTCACAATAGCCAAAAGGTGGAAACAGCCCAAATGCCCATCAATAAGTAGATAAACGCAACGCCAAATATCCTTTCAATAGAATATTATTTAGCCATGAAAAGATATGCAGTACTGATTCACGCTACAACGTGGATGAACCTTGAAAGCATTAACATTGTGTGAAAGAATATACCATATAATGTGTGATAGTGGCAACAACTATATTAGTAGTGGTTACCAGGGACAGAGGGATGGGGGAACAGGAAGTGACTACTCCTCTTTAGAGTGATGAAAGTGTTATGAAATTAGATAACAATAATCAATGTACAGGTTTGTGACTATATTAAAACCCATAAAATTTTACACTTTAAGATGGTAATTCTTACATCTCAATAAAATTTTTTATTAAACCTCAATTAAACATTAATTTTTTTAATTGAATGTTTCCATTTTAGTTAGACATGCCACATGAAAATTAATAAGACATTTTAAATATTTAAGTGAGTGTTACAGATTATAAGATACTTCTTTGCAGCTGTTTTGAGGGAAAGTATTTGCTAGTATGTCCGCTAACATCAACAATTTCTTTCTCCTTTGTTCCATATTTTTATCAGTTATCATTCAGTTGGAAATACTGTGAGCTCCACCTAAAAAAAAAAAAAAATCTGACCAACAGTGGCTTAAGCATTGTAATTATATTCAATTATATTTCTTAATAAGAATCTAGAATTAGAACGTCCCAGATGGATTTTGGAGTTCTGTGATATCACAGTACTACTGATGGATTGATATCACTTTGATTCACTTGGCTGTTTTGTTGTAATCAAAAGATTGTTGCCTAGCTCCAAATACTACATCCTTATAACAACATATAAAAAAAGGGTGAGAGGCACAAAGGAACTTTTTCTTATTCAGTTCTCATCCTTTTTGTAGATATTAAAATCTTTCGCAGAAATTCCCAGCAGACTTCCATTTTCATTTGCCAGAATTAGGTAGTATGCCTATACCCAGACCCACCTGTAGCAAAGCAAAGGGTCATTAAGAATAATGATGATTCATTCCCTGGGGAGGGAATGTGTTAGTGAATAAGTGAACAATGCCTGCCATAGGGCAGCAAAAATCATTTGCTACAATATGATTAATCTTATAATGGCAATTCTTAATAATTCTGAATATAGTACTGACTTACTGCCCTATTATAGGAAATTTCTTGTTGGAGGAAAAAAACAAATTGCATACAAAACTTCTCTATATAGATGAGCCAAGTGTTTGAATAATAAAACTGATTTCTTTCCATAAAAGTGACTGATTTTCCTTAGTTATTCCAATTTTTATTGATCCTTTCTTCCTATAATTTCCTTTAGCATAAATAGCCCCTGCCCAGAAGCAGATCCAAGTATTGTGGGGACTAAACTTACATAAAATCTTGGGAATGCTCTTTAAGGAAATAACATACAATTAGCTTCAAAAGTGAACATTTGCTTAAAATTAAGAAATCACAGCAAATTACAGATTTCAAAAGACTGACAAGTAACACAAACATTGAAAAATGAAGAAAAATAACATTTTATCACTTAACTGTTATACCCATTTATTTTTGGATACATATTCTTGATTACCTCTTCATATGTCAATTTGTAAATTTCATTGTCTGTAGAGAGTACAGAAAGATAATTTAGTCTTTCATACAGTTTATCAAAATTGGTACCTTTTCTATTATTGCTAAATAAATATGTGTAAAGCATGCAACTTCTACAGGCGTACACACTGTTAATAACATCACTATAAATAAGTATCCTATAAACAGAAATTTTGATAAATCATATTTCATATAACCTCCATCAAATATGAAAAGAAACATTTGCTCCTTTTGTAAAGACATTATCAGATTATTCCTGATAGGGCCTCCCTGGTGGCACAGCAGGTTGAGTGCAGTGCTGGGAAGCTGTCTGCAGCCTCTGCAGCACAGGTTTGATTCCCAGCCGGCTGGGGAGATACCCACATGGTGTGGCAGACCTTTCCTGTCTTGCGCGCTCCTCCCCTTAGCAGTGTATTTCAGTAGATCCACCTGTTCTGCTCCCCACTCTGTCTCTGGTGAATTGTCTCATCCTGCTGTGCCTCTGGACTGTACCCCAGCTCTTGTATAAATAAATAAAAAATCATTTAAAAAAAGATTATTCCTGATAGAAAAGAACTTTTGACTAAGCTCTGATGAGAACCAAATTTGATGCTTTTAATTTTATACATGTAATGTTTAGAAGATGTTTGCATAGACAGGCTTTTGGCTTCATACATTTCAAATCTAGCTTATCCTTCATTGCCTTCATTTTCAGTGTCAGGACCTACAGGTTATGTACATATTGTATCACTGCTCCAGCTTTGAATCTTTGTGTTGTAGGCACAGAAAGTGATGAGTATTCCTGGTAGCCAGTACTACCCTGGGGCAACTAGTAATAACTATACATAACAGTGACTGTGAACCACATAGATAAATCCCACTAAAATCAAACTAAATGATTCCCATCTTGACTCCTCTTAGCCAGATCCCTAACGTGCCTGCAGCTACTCCAATTCCAGTCTATACAAAACAAAAGAGGTGGAAAGAAAAAGGTAAAATGTGGTATTGGCATTGAAACTGGGTCATGGGTAGAAGCTGTAAGAGTTTTAAGGTGCACATTTTAAAAAAAGGCCTCAATTACCTGGAAGAAACTGTTGGTAGAAATATGAATGTTAAAGGCATCTCTGCTGAAGATTCAAAAAAGAAGAGGAAAATTGTTTCTATAATCTTAGAGATATACCTATATTGTTATGAAAAGTGTTGGTGGGAAAATGAATGTTAAAGGTGCTTCTGTTGCTGTCTCAGGAAGAAATGGTAGCATGCTATTGGAAACTGGAATAAAGGTAATCCTTGCTATAAGGTATCAAAGAACTGCTAAATTGTGTTCTAGGATTTTGCAGAAAATAGAACTTATAAATAATGATCTTCGATATTTAGCTGAGGAGATCTGTAAACAAGATGTTGAAGATACAACTTGGTTTCTTGTTGCTGCCTGTAAAATTTAAGAGTGAGATAAATTGAAGAAGATATTATTAAGCAAATAGAACCTGCACTTGATGATTTAGAAAATTTTCAGTCTAACCATGTGGCAAAAAATTGAAAACACATGTTATAAAGAGAACATCAATGATGTAGGAGGATAACCATTTGCTGAAGAGATACCATATGAGTTAATGATCTAATCAACCATATCAGCAGAAACCAAGAGTAGATATGGAGTTTACCAGGAAAAGTGTTGACAACTTGGCCTAAATGGGACAGAGATGCAATGAAATGAAGGCAGGCTGTCATATGTATGGGATTCTAGAGGATGGCAACCAATAGAGCCATCTGTCTGTAACATGTTTTATCCTTTAAAGAAAAAAGATAGGGCCTCACCTGGTGGCGCAGAGGTTGAGCGCTGGGCTGAGAAGCTGGCCGCAGCCTCTGCAGCACCAGTTCGATCCCCGGCTGGCCAGCGAGGGTCCCACATGGCGCGCAGACCTCTCCTGCTGCCCGCTGCTCCCCTTAGCAGTGTATTTCGTCAGTCAGCCTGTTCTCCTTCCCGCTCTGGCTCTGGTGAATTCTCTCAGCCTCCCACGCTTCTGACTGTACCCAGTGCTTATATAAATAAATAAATCTTTTTAAAAAATGAAGAAAAAAAGATAAATGACCACAGCCAATTCAGAAGTCAGCAGGGCTACCACTTCTACCATGAATCCAGGGGGCACACGACAGTGGTATAGAACCTTTTACTGCTTGGTTCTAGAGGAGTCAGGCAGACACCTAGAGCTCAGGAAACAAGGTTGCCTCCCATGGCCAAGAAGGTAGGACTGCCACACTTGTTAGAACAGGTCAGAGCCTCAAGTCCAAGAAGATTATCCTTGCTTGAGTCAAAATTTACTGGCATTTCCCTGCTACATTCAGACTTGCTTGGGACCCATGGTCCCTTTCTTGGTTCAGTTTCTGCCTTTTGAAATATGACTATCTATACCGTGTATGACCTATTGTGTTAGTACAGGGCTCACCAGCAGAGGGACCTGGGGTAGTGGTTGCTTCTGCTCAAGCATGATTCGGCAAAAGCTGATGCAATAATAACCGGATGTTATAAGATCCACGTAAAGCGCATGTGCAGGCCATGTAAAGCGCGTGTGCAGACTTTCCTATCTCTATCCCTGCCCCTCGGTAATAAAGATAGTTCCTGCTTCCAGCCAAGTGAGTGTATGCATCTTTCATCCCCAGCCCCTCCGCCATGTTCCTGAACCCCGTCGGCCTGCGGGACCGACAAGTGGCGCCTGAACAGGGACCCAAGTACGAGGGATCCTCGGAGGGACCGATCAATCAGTAAGGTAAGGTCATTGGTAAGTGATCGGCATCATGGGCAATACCATGTCCAAGGGCCAACTTGTTAGAGCCCTACAGCTTCTCCTTAAAAATTATGGAACTCCCGTTAAGGTTCAGACCCTTCATGATCTAGTCTCAGTCCTCGCAAATACCAGCAATTGGTTCTTTCAGCAGGACACTGTCTCAGTATGAAACTGGGAAAAGGTCAAAGTGGACCTCCTTCTTCACAGGGACCTTTACGGACCCCAAACTGTCCCCCCCCCCAGTATTTTTTCTGTGTGGCAGCTAATCCATGATGCCCTTAGTAACGGGGGAGCAGCTGCTTGTGAACTAGTGGCTGAGGCATTGCACTCCGCGGCTCAGTCCGAAAGCGAAACTACGCCCGCCACATGCTCGGCCACGGCAAGCTCAGCCACGGAACCCCCCACTTCTCAATCCTCAAAACCAGAGGGAGATTCCTCTTCAGACGAGGGGGATGTGGAGGACAATACAGACCATCCACCTCCCTATGATAGACCACCCCCCATCAACCAAAAATCGGCGGTATCCCTCCCTTCCCATTCTCCCCTCCGCCCCTCCGCTCACCACCCCCACCCCCCGGCTCTGATACAGACTTCTGGGGGCTTGTGCAGTCCCTCACTTCTGCTCTTTCAAAATTCACCTCCTCAAGCTCTTCTCAAACATCCCGCGAGGAAAACACCCAGGAGTCCCTTCTCATGTGTCAATACGTTTGTGTAAAGATATTGATGGATCCACCGTTAACCCACACGAGGCGGTACCTGTTTTGGGTGTGGTCAAATGGGCCATTTATCCCTCTTCGGCTGACTTGCTTACTTCATAGTCCGCCCTCCGATCCGCCCAACGAAGAGGCGCTCTCCAAACCTTCTGAAAATGATCCTCCACCTGCTACTACTCTTCCACCTCCAACTGCAAGTACACCCCCCTCCTTTGCAACACAATTCATTGGACAATAGTTAATAATCCCCCTTTCCTTCTGCCGGTTTCCAGAAAGGGGGGTATTCTCCCGTCATTCTTATCTACCAATTCCACCACTGGACTCCCTTCTACACCCTTGACTTCCGCTAGTAACTTTACCAGCCCCTCTACTATTGATTTGTCATCAGTGTTCTTTTCACCTTCCTACATCTTACCGCAACCCCGCAGAATATCACCTTTCCCCCTTGCATTCCCCTTACTATAATGACGACCGCTGACATAAACTGGAGCAAAAATGACAGTCTTTCCAACACATCCAGTCATGAGTTCTTTCAGGGTCCCTATTTCCGCTTTTCCAACATCACCACTCCGGTTTACTCCCCTGGAAGCTTAGGGGTCACTTGCCCTGCCCATCCTATGGCACCTGCTCCACTGTGCTGGCCCCATGAACATGATTATACTACTGTACAAAACGATGGCCTTAGGTGGCATGAATGTATACCGCCCATCACACCATACTGCACAAAAGGTGGTCTCTCCTTCTTTGGTCCCCGTCCCCTCTCCGTGCCTACGGTAAATGCCAAAACATCCCCCCCATTGCTCCATAGAGACCCCCACACCACTGGGGGACAACATCCCATTCGCTCTGGCTGGTTTCTCTGCAATTCCCTTCCTATAATGCTACCTATGGTAACCATCCCAGCACTCTCTCTGACAATGCCACTCTCAGTTCCAAAGTTAATTTTACTGTTCAAGCAGGTGTTTGCGTCCTGTCTCCTTTTTATAGAGTGTCTTTCAATCTATCGTTCAACAAACAATCAATCCTCCCTCAATTGTAGCTGTCACTTTTCCTCTTGTTGGTCCAGAACCCTCAGCAATTCCTTTGTTGTCATGCGTTTCCCTAAGGTCGTTATTATGCCTGTCAATGTGTCTGAGTCTACTTCTCAGGTAATCATCCGAAATCGACGAGCAGGTCCGGCATTGGTTGTTGGCGCCTTGATCTCGATCTTCTCGATGCTGGCAGCTGTGGCCGCGGTGGTTGGCGGCCTAGCTCTGTCCAACTCTGTGGCTAACGCGGACACCATCAACCTTCTCTCAGAACTAATCTCCACCGCCTTTCTCACTCAAAACTCTATCAACAATCACTTTGCGGTCAGAATACTCCAACTAAATCAACAAGTCTCCTTGCTACAAGAAGAAATAGACTTATTGACTCTAACTGCCCATATCCCCTGTGTTCCTACATATGCGTTCACATGTGTTACCCCTGCTCTTGTTTCCAATTATTCCCAGGTTCATACCCTTAATGAGTACCTGCGTGGCCCGTGGAACCAAACCTTTCTCAGTTTTACAGTTCAATTGGCTAATCAAATTCTCACCATCAATAATACCCGAGCCGTGGTATTTAACCCTGATCAAGCCCTTTCCTGGCTCTCTAAAGCCTGGGGGCTGGCCAAATCCTTGGGGGGAGCCATATCACTCCTTGGTGTGGTCCTCTTCTGTCTGGGTGTCATCTTCTACATCCTGTGGCACCAGTGCCAAAGACTCAGGGCCCTACGACTGGCTCTGCGACAGGTACGGTACTCTCCGTTACAACGCACTGCAGACCCTGGAGTGTGGGTCAATATTGCTCTTGACCACCTGTAGGCCAATGACGGGTAAGATGGCGGTGTAATCCGTTGCAACCTAAGACAGCTCCACTACCTTACCTAGGAATCTGGTGGTGGGTGGCCACGACGGGTAAGCACGTGAATACGACCGCCACAACCTAAGACAGGCCCTGGTGCGTCCCCCCCTTTTTTCTTTATAACATAAAAATGGGGGAGCTGTTAGTACAGGGCTCACCAGCAGAGGGACCTGGGGTAGTGGTTGCTTCCGCTCAAGCATGATTCGGCAAAAGCTGATGCAATATTAACCGGATGTTATAAGATCCACGTAAAGCGCATGTGCAGGCCACGTAAAGCGCATGTGCAGACTTTCCTATCTCTATCCCTGCCCCTCGGTAATAAAGACAGTTCCTGCTTCCAGCCAAGTGAGTGTATGCATCTTTCATCCCCAGCCCCTCCGCCGTGTTCCTGAACCCCGTCGGCCTGCGGGACGGACTGACACTATTGTAACTTAGAAGCAGGTTAACTGATTTTATAGGTTTGAAGCTGTAAAGTGATTTTGCATCATGATGAATCAAACCTAGAGTCTCACCCATATTTTTTTTTAAAGATTTATTTATTTATTTGTACAAGCACTGGGTACAGTCAGAAGCATGGGAGGGTGAGAGAATTCACCAGAGCCAGAGCAGGGAACAGAACAGGAAGATTGACGAAATACACTGCTGAGGGGAGCAGTGGGCGTGTCAGGAGAGGTCTGCGTGCCATGTGGTACCCTTGCCAGCAGCCGGCCTGGGAAGGAACCAGCACTGCAGAGGCTGCAAGCAGCTTCACAGCCCAGCACTCAACCGCTGCGCCACCAGGGGAGGCCATCACCCATATTTGATTTCGATGATACTTAGATGAGGCTTTGGACTTTGAATTAATATTGAAACAGGCTAAGACTTTTGTGGCTATTGGCTTTGGAGCTGATGTAATTTTTCATATGGCAAGGACATAAACTGGGGGGTGAGGGGAGCCTGAAGGCAGAGTATTGTGAGCTAAATTTTGGGTTCCCACCTACCATTCATATGATGACGTCCTAAAGTACCCCACCCCCAGTAACTGAAAATGTGAGTATATTTGAAGATAATGACTATATTTGGAGATAACAGTGATTAAGTAAAATGAGATTATTTGGGAGAACTCTAATCCAATATGACTGGTATATTTATTAAATCAGAAAGTTAGGGCAGTATTTGAAGACACCAGAAGATGACCAACTATAAATCAAGGACAGAGTCCTTAGGGGGGAAAAAAAACTGTCTCTACCTTGATTTTGGACTTTAAACCTCTAGAATGTGAGAAAATAAATTTCTGTTGTTTAAGTCACTACTCAGTGGTATTTTGCACCACTGAACAAAAGTCTCTGAAGCTGAAGTTTTATTAGGCTCATGATATATCCATCTCTATCTGTACTTCACAATTTATCACTTAGATTTGGTTCTCTCTTGTATCATTCATTGATCATTCTATCCAGTTCTATTGCATGTGCCTTGAGGACACTGACAGTTTTCTGCATCCTCACCATCTACCTCTACTCTTGCCCTTTTTTTTTGTCCCAAGATAGAATTGAACACAGTAGGTATCTAACAGACAACTTTTATTGATTTATTCATCACGCCTACAAGTAATCTCACCTGCAGTTCTTAAAGGTTGATTAAAGAGAGCACTTCCCATCTCCCTAAGATTAACTTCGTCTCTGT